AAAAAAAAAAAAAAAAATTCGTAGACAAGTTCAATCTGGTAAGATGCCTTTATTATATACGTATTATATTCTCTTTGTAGATATTGATCTGTCTGTTGGGAGACTCGGGGAGCAGTCGATCCACAGGGTTTTTGTTGATCCTGGTGGCAGTCACTGCGTTGCAACTGTAGTTGGTGGTGGAACTTCAGATACTTTTTATACTCATGCAAAGTGGGCTAAACCTCGCATTTTGAGCAAATTAAAAGGTCTAACTGTGAACGCTGTTGCTTGGAATAAGCAGCATATTACAGAAGGTAAAGTGGAGGTGCTCAGAAGTGAGTTTGAATCTGGAATTTGTTCCTCTATGGAAACTTTGAACTGAATTTTTCATATTTTATGTATTCATACAGCATCCACGAGAGAAATTATTCTTGGGACGGACAACGGCCAACTTCATGAAGTTGCTGTAGATGAGAAGGATAAGAAAGAAAAGTACATCAAATTCTTATTTGAACTCAATGAACTTCCTGAAGCTTTCACAGGGTTACAGGTTTGATGTCTTTTTCTCTTTCTGTTATTCCTCTATGTCAATTCCTTATATTTTTTTATAGTTAGAGGGGAGTCTAAATTCCTATGAACTACGAGCCTACGAGGATTAGAGTTTTAACCCAGTAGCAACCAATGCAAAACCCTCATAAAGGATGAGAGGTATCATGTGAACGACAAGCTCGTGGTCCATTTGTCAGTTTCATTCTGCTACAGAAAATTTTAATATGGCTAAGTTGTGCTTAAGAAACACCTGCGTTCCTGGACATATTAGGTAATAATCTTATTCCTACATATCTCTGTGAAACACATGTTGCTGAGAGCCTGTACTTTTGGGGAACTCTGCTGGCATGCCAAAGATTAGGTTCGTAGATAAAATATTGTGTGCCTTCCTGAAATAATGCTAGAGTTTCTACATGGATAATTTGAACTCAAACTGATGATTGATGATAGATGCGGAAGTGAGTGCAAAATATTACAGCAGTGTATTTATATCGATATTTTATTCGTTTGAGACAGTAGATTATGTGTATTGGAAGATCCTCTGAAATTGTGTTTTTTCGAGAGTTCGTGTTCCTTTCAGTGTTCTGCTGTCTCTTTCTTTATATGCAACTTGGATTTACGTTTTTAGAAACTAACCTTTAAAAGAAAATGTTCACCTTGTTTTTGGAATGTCTTTTCTTTTTGAAGTATTTACTTGTATAATGGTCGATCTGTTGGTCTCATTATTGAGGCAATCTGGACTTAGTATATTTACACACATTTACAGATGGAAATTACTGGCACGAATAATGGAACTAGGTATTATGTGATGGCGGTTACTCCCACCCGACTTTATTCATTCACTGGAATAGGCTCGTTGGAAGTAAGTAAAATTTATGTTTCTCTTATCTGTTTATGATCCATAGACCATCTGCAGTTGGAAGTGTAGTTAAGCTAGGGCATGTGGCAGTTGATACGTTTTTCTTCAAACATGTGGCATTTATGTAAAAACTCATGTATCACTATCACATGATTTGATGCCTCTCTGAACAACTGTTCTTCCCCTTTTCTCCGTTCCTTTACTGTTGTCTGAAGATCTTTTCTGTTTACGTTCCTGTTGCAGTCTGTTTTTGCCAGCTATGCAGAACGTGCAGTTCACTTCATGGAACTTCCTGGTGAAATTCAGAACAGGCAAGTCAATCACTTGGAGATGTCATTAAATTGCTGTTAATTGCAATTAATTTATCCTTCATACTGATTTCTACAACATCTTCAGGAAACCATATATTGGCCAAGTAGAGTAGTAATACGGATGAACATATACTCCGTATTGCAGGCCAAACTTCGTATATTTTGAATAGAAGGAATAATTAAGCTATTTGTATTTCTTCAAAAATTCAAGTGTAGAAGAACTTGTGTTTTCATCCTTAAAATGCTAGAGTTTTTATTATGTTACACAGTATGCAATATGGTGTTACTTAACTAAAAATTAACGGGAGTTGCAATCAGGCTCCTGATCAGTACTCCCCTAGTTTTGTTTTTATCTGTCACTTTTACAAAATCAATTTTTTTTTTTCATTCTGTTTGTCACTTTAGAAATCCCAAGAGTATTATTTCACTCCACCCCCTTTCCGCCCCATCTTGATATCATAGTTAATGAATGTGTGTTTACTTAAGTTCAATTAACAGGTAAAATGGTCTGTTTATATCTAACAATACCGATAGATGGTGTTCTTAATCTATGTGGAAGAATCTTGAACAAAATATAGAACTAAATGGAGGAGGGCCATAATTGCTCATACACACTTTTATGAGGAGATGGTGAGCTCAATTTTCCTGTTTTCCTTTTTGTAGTGAGTTGCACTTTTTCATCAAGCAGAGAAGAGCAATACATTTTGCATGGCTATCTGGAGCAGGAATCTATCATGGTGGCCTTAATTTCGGAGCACAACACAGGTAATCAACTATAATTAATCAATTCAACTCCATTCAAGTAATTATATATGGTAAATTGGAGTGATTATACATGGTAAACTAGTTTACCTTTATTGTTGACATCTTCGAAATTCATCTTCAGTTTACCGAATGGGGACGAGAATTTTGTGGAGAACAAAGCTCTCCTGGATTATTCTAAGCTAGGTGAAAGTGTGCTGGTCAAACCTAGGTCCCTGGCAGTGTCTGAATTCCATTTCCTTCTTCTGGTGGGGAACAAGGTTAAGGTGCGACCTCAGTAGTATATTACTAATGATGTTTTTTTATGTGATGAATTAGAATAATCCATTTGTACAAACATGTGGGCGTCCTTGCCAAGTGTGCGGCTATCACTAGGATTTCATGATTAATGGGTAAAATGCATGTTCTTGATGAAAAATATTTTTCTAACAATAAACATTTTTCTTGCTACTCCGTTCTATTTATTCACATTACCTGTATTGTGGTTTGGCCATAACTCATAACGGTTCTCTCTCTTCAGATATCTGTTTTAAGTGATTATTTTGTTTTCCTTTTCACCTATCCGCATAAACCTCACATGCTTTGTTTGCATTTCCTTTTCTTTTGTTCTAATACCTCTCTCACTGTCTAAGAAGCTTCTTTTCATATTTGGAAGGTTGTTAATAGGATCAGTGAGCAGATTGTTGAGGAGCTTCATTTTGATCAAGTACCTGATGCAGTTTCAAGTGGGATTCTAGGTTTATGCAGTGACGCATCTGCTGGACTTTTCTATGCATATGACCAGAATTCCATCTTTCAGGTGCTCATTTGGTGATATTATATTTGGATACGATTATTATACATGACCTCTGTCAGTCTTATTATTGTTATCTGAAAATGTTAATAAAGGTGTCGGTGAATGATGAAGGTCGGGATATGTGGAAAGTGTATTTAGAATTGAAGGATTATGCTGCGGCTTTGGCAAATTGTCGTGATGCCCTACAAAGGGATCAAGTCTATCTTGTTCAGGTCTGATAATTGTTGTGCAGTACTTGATATCATGGATGTCATGGTATCTCTTTTCTGTAAATTAATTGTAGTAAAAGACAGTTCCATCTTGCAAATTCTAGCAGCTCAATGAGTGATTTTTCTGATGCAGGCTGAAGCTGCTTTTACTGCAAAAGATTTTCTCAGAGCGGCTTCCTTTTATGCAAAGGTAATTTCACTGTCTCCTTTAAATCATGCAATGGCGGCGTCGTAAAAAATTTCTGTTCCTTACCTTGTACGTGTATAATCTTCTTATATGGTACATGAAACCTTCGTCTACTAACAGACGATGTTCGCATAAGTTATTTAGGTTGCGACTGCATATGTTTCAGTTGTAAATTATTGTTTAACCAAAATTACCATCATGGGGTCACCGTAGCTTTTTCAGCTAATTTGCCTAAGGTGGCTCAATTAGCTTTGCTAGGACATTAAGAAAGTCACAGAACACTTATACAATAAGAGCTGATCCTTAAATGAAAGGCACTTTGTTATTTCTCTATATCGTACTAGTTAATTTGGTTGTGTTTTTTTTGCATGTGTGTGGATGGGGACACACATGTCCAAACTTTAGTCATGCTAATATGCTTAAAACTGACATGAATGTATGTAAACCATTGATGTAGCATTGTCATACCCAATATTGAAATACAATGCACCACCACTCTTCCTATACCCCTATCCTTTTAATCTCAGCAAACATGAATAAGCTTTTATGTATGTAGAATAATTTACTACCAATAGCTGGTCTAGTAGTGAGCGAAGGTAACAGTAGTCAGATGGTGTCATTATTTTCGTAAATTTATTAGATAATTATTAGTGTGTCCTGTTGTTCTTTATGATTGTAAGACGGCAGCTAGCAACTCATGGTAACAAGTTGTTCAAACCTTTCTCGTAGGACAGTTAACTGCAGAATTTCATTGACTACCCTTTTCTTTCGGCTTCCTCACACTCTTGGTATTTTCCGGGATTAATGATATGATCCTACTTAGTTTTGGAAGTGTAATGCATTAGTTTATTCCATATTTATACATGAATGTATCATCACATGACAAATGGAATAATGCAGATTAACTTTGCCTTGTCATTTGAAGAGATCACTTTGAAGTTTATAAGCATAGGCGAACAGGTGAAAGCAGTTTTCATTCACATCTTTATGAGAATTGTCAGAACTGTTTCCTTCTTGCTGTAGCAGCCGTTTGTACCACTGTTTTCAGGATGCCTTAAGGACATTTCTGTTGCGGAAGCTTGACAATTTTGCGAAGGATGACAAGTGTCAAATAACAATGATTTCCACATGGGCAACTGAGTTATATTTAGATAAGGTTTCCTTGGAACTTGCTGTTTTAAGGATAAATAAGTTGTCCTTTTTTAATTTTTATGCTTTTAAACTTTATATTCTAGCCATTGCTCAACTTTCCGACTTGATTTAAAGTAATAGTATATTTTTAGTCTTTCACTTTGAAATATGATTTGCTTGACCTATCTGGCATTTGAGAAGTTACCGAATGTTTTTCAATAATGCAAATGCTTGTCAGGACTCCTCAGAAACTTCCGCCATAAGTTTTTGCAGAAGTCTTATATGATAATGAATGTGGGATTTTCGTACTGATCAATCAACTCTTGGTTGCTTAGATTTCACTCAGCCATCATTATCACACTTCTCAACCATATTAGAAGAGTATATATCAGCATAATATCATGAAACAACATCCTTGTAGTAGCCTTGCCTTGCTTAACTGGTTATGTGTTTCTACCTGATACTGCTGATGTTTTCATGTCTGTCATAGTCTCATTGGAATGCTTATTAAGGATTGCATTGATTATAGCTATGTTTATCATAAACTTACAAACCTCTGTAGTATTGGTGTTTGTGAAATAGAACTAATTTGTTGTTCATTTTTTGTAATATTAGATTAATCGACTACTTTTGGAGGATGACGCTGTGGCTGATTCTTCAAATTTAGAATATCAATCAATCATCACAGAGTTCCGTGCCTTTTTGAGCGATTGCAAAGATGTATTGGATGAGGCTACCACCATGAAACTTCTAGAAAGGTGATTTATATTAAGTTGCTACTATATGTAGTTCTCCAGGCATACTTCCGTCGGCGATGCGAAAATGAATTTTATAATGATTAATTAGTACTGGGATTCCTTAATCTAAAGCTTCCAATTCATTATACAGTTCATATTTTTATAGTAGTTGACCTGAATTCTAGAGGCAATATTTCTCCCATTAATATGTGTTTTACAAAAAGACGTGGACCTATCTTTTGAGAAATTATATTTGGACTTTTATAGCAAGGTGATTCAGCCATGTGATTTAGGTACACTGATCAGCAACCTCTACTGGTGTTATTATTTTGAACTCATGCAGCTATGGCAGAGTTGATGAATTGGTTTTCTTTGCTAGTCTTAAGGAGCAACATGAAATTGTGGTGCATCATTATATTCAGGTGCCTTCTCTTTGAAACATTGTCTAATGGCATTATAATTTTACATTTATGGCGCATTTGAACTGTTATATATACTATTTCCTTATTATTCGTTTCATCTTTCCACAATTTGTGCAGTATTACCAATAATAGTGAGCTACTTTCCGTTCTGATGAGTAGTTTAGACCTGTAATTTGATCTACTTACATCGAATTTTATGTTCATTTCTTAAAGTTATGCCTACTTCCTTGTATATTTGACCTCTTCCCTGCGCGATCATGTTCTAAAAATATACAGTATGTATCCAGTAATACGTTTTCTCCTTTCCAAAGTTCCTTTGTAGTGATTTTAAGGTAAAAGTTAATGTATCACCAGTTAAACATATCATATATGCTGGATTTTTCAACTGTCTCGACCTAGTGATTTCAGCATACTGTATTTCTGTCAGGAAATACAATCTTGTTCTTGTATATGTGCTCAATTGAAACTTTGACATTATATGTATGTGACAATTCTGCCAAAGTGGAAACTGTATGATTGTGAAGCTTTATGGCTAGTCAATTGCCAAAGCACTGACTTCTGGTGAGAAACGGAAACCTTCTAAGAGGCAATCCTAACTTATTCCAGTGCATCACTACATTATATGACAATTTTTTATAGTACATTCCACAATTCTTGTTCCAGATTTCTTTCAAAAATCGGATTTAGGTTTGACAAATCATTATCATGTTCGTTTGAAGTGAGTATCCAATCCTAAGTTATATTGATCTTTGTGATGTCAATAGGAAATTTTTAGCAGTTTTGATGCCAGTGTAACTTTCAAGTAAACTTGATTCATTCATTCAGTTATTGTATCATCTTTTCACTTCTTTTGGTGGGTGTGATATGTTAGCTTGGGGAAGCAAAGAAAGCACTGCGAGTTCTTCAGAAACCTAATGTTCCTACAGAGCTTCAGGTATGAAATTATGGAGTGAATATTTTTATACTTTAGATGCGAAGTGAAAGAAAAGGATAACCTCTTCGTTACTCTTCATATATTCATCATGGTTTATCCTGTATTTTGTGTTATTGATATTTCTCTTATTATGCAGTACAAGTTTGCCCCTGACCTTATCATGCTTGATGCATATGAAACTGTTGAAGCATGGATGATCACAAAAGACCTGAACCCAAGAAAGCTCATTCCTGCAATGATGCGTTATTCAAGTGAACCACATGCAAAGTAATGTGTATTTCTATACTCAGTTGTATGGTGCTTGTTTTTCATTTTGTTGGCATTTTGTTTTCTTTAGAGTTGCTAGATCTCATTTCTTCCAAATACAGAGCGGGTGGCATGATGCTCGAAATTATTTTCTTTATTAAGATCTTAAAATAGTGGAAATCTGTCAAGTTCGCATGCTATTTCAACAATAATAAAACAGAGTGGTCTGATAGCAGTTGAGGCTTCGCTTCGTTCTTTGGGGAAGAATAACCTAGTTTTGTAGCCAAGTTAAAGACGTGCCAACTTTTCCTACTCTTTCTTAAGCGCTGGTTCTGCTTTCACTAGATGATATTCTTTTTCACGCATCAGTTGAGGCTTTTTGAGGAATATTGGCATTGGGAGAAAGATTTTGATCATTGAAGAGGAAACATTAAAATGCCATGCATTACTCAACTAGTCAATTACAAGAAAGCTGAAATGCATGTATAACTATTTTTATAATGAGGATTTTATTTATTATGACCAATTTTTTAAATATTTCTCCCCAATATGTAAATGTTCCCATCCAGGAATGAAACTCATGAAGTGATAAAGTATCTGGAGTATTGTGTTCATCGTTTGCAGAACGAGGATCCTGGTGTTCACAATTTGTTACTCTCTTTATATGCCAAGCAGGTGAGGTTGCTTTATAGGTATCCAGTAGAAAAGATTAATATTTATTAATTTGCTTCGTTTTTGTCTTTCTTTTTTGTTCCTTCTGGATGCATAAAATATGTTGCAAATCTTTGGTTAATATTTCTGAGTAAATTCCTTATGGTGAACAAGTGTCTATCATAGGTTTATTGTCTCTTAGTCTCCTGAAGCAAAAATCTATCTGAATGTGTTAATTCAAGAGATTTTTATGCTTCTGATACCACACAGATTTTATAATAGATAACGGGACGGGCAGGGAGGGGAGTCTAAATACCTGAAAAAATGAATTTACAGGGGCTGAACCGTGTTTCAATTAGTACAACAATCTTACATAGGGTGCGAGTACAACTTGAACTATAAGCTCGTGGTACCACACACAGATTTTGTGCAAAAAGGTTTGTATTAACAATGTTTGGTTGAAGATCGTTCCACTTCTCAAATATTTATGCGGATAAAAGTGTGTGCCTGTCTAAATTATCCATGCTCTCATATGAATCATGTCGTATATACATGGAGAATCTAATTCTTAGGCCTTCGGTATTGGATTTAGGAGGACGAGAGTGCTCTTTTGCGTTTTCTTCAATGCAAGTTCGGAAAGGGGCAGCCAAATGGCCCTGAATTTTTCTATGACCCAAAATATGCATTGCGCCTCTCTCTGAAGCAAAAACGGATGCGTGCATGTGTCCACATATACAGCATGATGTCTATGCATGAAGAAGCAGTTGCTCTTGCTCTGCAGGTAATATTTTCCAGCTTATACTTGGGGTCACTGATTGCATATAAGCTCGTTAGTCATATAAGTCCCTTTTTCTGTTTTGATTTATATGATAATCAAGCTGAAATATGTTTTAAGTGATTTTTCGAATGCTTAAAAATGGGAAGTTGAATGCAATAAGCATAATTTACATGCATTCCCTCACATGCTTCGATGTTTCTTAATAGGTTGATCCGGATCTTGCTATGGCTGAAGCTGATAAGGTTGAAGATGATGAAGATTTGAGAAAGAAACTTTGGCTTATGGTTGCCAAGCATGTCATTGAACAGGAGAAGGGAACAAAGAGGGAGAACATCCGAAAGGCCATAGCTTTTCTCAAGGAAACTGACGGGCTTCTGAAAATCGAGGATATCTTACCTTTTTTCCCTGATTTTGCAATGATTGATGATTTCAAGGTATTTCACTTCTGCTTTATTGAGGCACAGTCATTCCCTGAAACTAAAGTTTATAACTATACATTCTTATTTATTTATTTTTTTAAAAACTGAAACTAAGAAAAAAACTAAAATTGAAAGAGAATTCTGAAAAACTGAAAGAATTAAATAACTTAAACCACTTAATACCTGGAGAAAAAAAAGTTATTCTGAAAAACTAAAATTTGGACGCTTCGGATGGAATTGTGCCCCAACGGATTTTTTTATCTTTCCTTATTCACTCAAATACCATCTTCTAATTTATCCATTTGTATTTGGATAATTTTTTGGGTTGAAGACTACTGCTTGCATTTACAACCAAGTTGGATGACCTGATGAGAATCTAAGTTGAGCTTTTTATTCCCCGTCTAATTTTTATTTTTTTTTTCTTATTCTTCAAAATAAATGTAGGAAGCAATATGCTCATCTCTGGAGGACTACAACGAGCAAATCGAAAAACTCAAACAGGAGATGAATGACGCAACGCATGGTGCGGACAACATAAGGAATGATATAAGTGCACTTGCACAAAGATACGCCGTCATTAAACGAGACGAGGAATGCGGGGTAACTATCTCATGGCTTAAAAACGCTCTCAATTTTTTGAATATTCTCGGCTATGTTCTTTTGCTTTCTTTCTTTCTTTCTTTCTTTTTTTCTTTCGGTAATCTCCTGTGGAATATCCCCTCTGATGTTTACTCGTTGATGCCTAGGCTTCAATGTTCCTTAAATTGATAATACCTTCCATGTTCGGAAGCTCATTTTCACTTGGTTTAACAGGTTTGTAGGAGGAAAATTTTAAATATGGCAAACGATTATAGGATGGCTAGAGCTTATACTTCAGTTGGATCTATGGCTCCTTTCTATGTCTTTCCATGTGGACATTCCTTTCACGCTCACTGCCTGATTGCTCACGTAACTCGATGCACAACTGAAGCTCAAGTGAGTATAGAAATTTATCTTTTACTCGTTTTTGTCTTCTCCTGCCTGTCTAGTGGAATTCTCGATATCTTTGACCTTTTTATTTATTGGAAATTAAAGATGATGAATTTTGTCGAGTATGCTTTATCTTTTGTTCAACTGTTCTATTATTCGAGCACTGGGGCTAATAACTACCTAAAAACATACTCGGCTTTGGTAACCTCGAGAGCGATCTGCTGAAATCTAAGGGAGTGTTTGTATATAAATTAACTCAACCAATACTCAATCCATACTCAAAATCTAACTCAACTTTAATTCAATCTCACTATCCTCAATATAATTAATATAATTAAATAATATCAATCAATAATTCTTATGTATCACATCAAGTTTAATTCACTATTCATCCACTCACATAATTTTAACTAACCATCTCTTCATCATCATCCCTCTCCTACTTTTACATCAAATCAACTTAATTTATTTTATTTCAATATTATTTTAATTATAAGCTCAAAATCCAACTAACAACTAACCATACCACATTTTTTCGAGATAGTAACCCGATGATCTTATTCAACATCAATTTGCAATACCCGATACCCGGCGTATATTTTTTCCCTCAACACCCTTTTTATTTCATTGATTTTGTTCAGGCTGAATACATTTTGGATTTGCAAAAGCAGCTGACTTTACTAGGAAACGAACCAAGGAGAGAAATGAACGGAGGGTTAACAGACGAGGAACCCATAACGAGCATGACCCCTGCAGAAAAGGTCCAAAATTTTACATGAAATAACACAATAATTTTCTTGTTTGTTTTGTGGAATGTGTCGGAATTAGTTCTCACGAGAAGAAGTTTTTCGGACAGATACGGTCACAGCTGGACGATGCCATAGCTAGTGAGTGCCCGTTTTGTGGTGATCTAATGATCCGCGAGATATCTTTGCCTTTTATACTCCCAGAGGAAGTTGATGAAGTCGAGTCGTGGGAAATAAAGACACAGAACCTTGGGACTCAAAAGAGCATATCATTAAGTGCATGATCAAATTCTTTGCTTCAACCCTACTAGGGAAAAACAAAGGGCACAGTGTTGTACTTTACTCTCTCTCTCTCTCTCTCTCTCTCTCTCTCTCTCTCTCTCTCTCTCTCTCTCTCTCTCTCTTTGTGTGTGTGTAAGTGTGTTGATTTAATGATTTTATGTTCCATTTCCTTTTTGTTTTCCCTCCCAAATTCGTTTTTAGTACATGATACGTTTACTTGTTGGGTGATTTTCCTGGGATATATAGGCCCATTTGTAATTGTAGTGATGTTGGATCAAACACACACCCATGTGGATGTGTGTTTGTGTGTGTAGGATGTACTTTTCCTTTCTAAATTGTAATTTTCCTATTGTTTCTTCTTATTTTCCCACTGATCTCGAAGTTCGTTGAAAATGTGCCCGTATAGTGTTACTCCACTTTCCAGCGACATTTCTGAATGGTTTTATTTCAAGTGTAGAATATAAATTTATTATTGTCTGGTTGTTATAATAATCATATAATAATAAAGTATAAATGCAGAGTTTTTCAAACCTACTGATCAAATATTTGTAATTTTACGTGTTGATTTTTGGTGTTTCGTATTCTTATGTGTCAAATCTTTTGCTTTGGAATAGTTTATATAGATTTGTACTTTTATCCATGTTTAGAACTTTTAAAATTCTAAATCAATTTAAATTTTAATCATATTTTAAAAAATTACAATACTTACGATTGTTATCATTTTTTTTTATAATATATCAAATATTATCAATTTTTTTTGTTATCAAATTTATCGTCTTTGATGATATTTGAATATAGTTCGGTCGGTTTGATTATTTCGGTTGTTTTAAAAATAAAACTGAAATCGAACCAAAATAACCAAAAATTTTACAAGTAAAATTTGATACCCGAACCAACATAAAAAACTGAATCGTAATTTTTGTTTAGATCTGTTTTTTCGGTTTTACTCAAACTTTTGTTTTTTCGGTTTTACTCAAACTTTGCACACCCCTAGACTTGATATGTAGTTGAAATCAAGATTCACAGTTTGAATTATTCTCCTGTACACTTTCTACGTCCACATTAACCACATTCCAATCTATACACAAAATAACTTACAATTTTCCTAAGTTTTGGTTCTGCAAAACCACAAAACACTACACACAAAATCCTTACAAGTCATCCCAGTTAGGTTACTTACTCTGCATGCTTGTCATTTCACATCATTAAGCATGATACATAAATAATGTGCCTCCTGTGGCACATGCAATCAAATCGTTCGTCGGGTGCCAAGCCAGGTTGAGTAACTTAGAATTGAAGTCATACGAAAAATCGGTACTTCCCAAATTATTGGAATCATGGCCTGAAAGATTATATTACAAAATCACCGGGAAGAATTAAAAGACACGACAATAATAATAATAATAATAATAATAATAATAATAATGAAGCCAAAAAGCATGAGGAAAAGAGAGAACACCTGGTCGGTAAAATCCTCTAGCCAAGTTGCTCAAGGATGATCGACGAGGTCTTGATGTCGTTTGGATTTGCGGCTTCCTATATCAAAATTATACATAAAAAAAATATATTTATACAGAAGTTTGAAAAAAAAAATTAAAAAAAAAAAATCCTATCTTAGATTGGAAGTTTTGTTTAATGTTGACGTACGTATTTGTATTTCTACTGGCTTCAATGGTTACTCCATCGTTACTCCCATTTTCGTAAGAAAATATACGTAGGTGATTGCTGATAAACATGAAGAACAACTTGTTTAGCATAAAAAAAGGAATAGGTATATATAGTATTGCCAACAGCTTTTCAGTAACAAGACTAACCTGTAAGACCCGGTAGCAAAACTAAGCCGGTCTTTAGCAAGGCAGCATTCGAACTTATCGAATATTGCATCATTGTTGTACAGATCACACAGCTGCAAGGCACAATGTAAAGTAAGTGCGTCAAAATCGAAAAATACGACATGAAATATATGTAATAATAAAAATAGTGAAAGTACAAAAGGATATATATTATATTCCTATTGGCCGGTATTGGGTTTCTCACTTTAGGACGAAGATTGTCGTGAACCCTAAATGTTGCAACTGGACCGGCATCCATGTTCATATCCCAAAGCTGAGAATGAAAATGAGAGACAAGATAATAAAATTAATGCACGCCAATATCATTTTGTATTTTACTGTATAAAATAGGCAAGGAAAAACAATAGGATGCATGAATAAGAGAGATTTTTACTAAAAAAAATATATTTCAGTTTAGATCGAAAAGCACACATAAAATCTGGAAGTAGGGAGTTAAGGAAAAATGGAAGGTCTTGATAATGCTACAGTAGGATGGGTGAGTGGAAAAATGATAATGAGATGCATGTAAGATGCTATTCATGTTCAATCTAGAGAATATAAGGCATTATAAACAGCATGTATTTTAAATGATAAGAGTGGTAGAGAGACCTTCAGATTCATATAATCACGGCTCAAAATATGCCTTCCATCATTTGCAAATTTCATATCAGTTATTGACGCAATAATCTCGGTGAAGAATGATTTCGGCTGGGAGTCCTCATCTTTGAATCTGTAAAAGTAAATATTTGATGTTACAAAAGTGGAAAACCATTTAAGTACCATCAGAAGTGAAAACACATTATAGTAGCATCAGCAACAAAATGTGATGCAGATGATGATAATACTCACATTCTTGCATTATGATCACATAGAGCTGATTGTCTCATGTCTACAAGCCGAACAAATCCCCTTGAACTGCTGTAAGCCAGCAAATTACAGTGAAATGGGTGGAATTCCGCTGCTGTGATCACCTCTAAAAAAAATCATCAAAGTTTAATTATTCTTTTGTTTTGTTGGAAGGCGAATAAGAAACAAGTGGGTTGAAATGTTGCAGTCAATGTCAATTTTACCAACTGCTCATTTATTTCTCTGAGAAAATAAGTAATATAAAGGTGTAGAGAAAAGTAGATGAATGAATACCCTTTTTCTCCTGAAAATGATCCAATTAAAAAAATGACAATGAGTGCTATAGAATGACAGATTGATGATGGCAACATAACCGATCTAGCCCTCATGATACGTCGGATAATATACCTATGAGATCTTCCATGTTTGTAGGCTTCAGGTCAATTATATTGAAACACTGGTTGCTAACTTCAAGATTCCACAAATTTATTCTTAGGTCATCTCCAGAAAGAAATGTCTCCCAATCACTTCACAAAAAAAAAAATGCAAATTTTATTAGAATAGCTGTGACAATATTTAGAATCTCAAACTCTTTTTTGAATTCTATAGTTGAGTTCATCAGGTGGTATACATAGAAAATAATTATTGAGCGTTAAATCTGAATTTTATTATAACGTGCTTGTCTTGGATGTAATTTTCTTTCTTTATCAGGTTGAGGGGACAGAAATTTCCAGTTACAACCACAGACAATGCACAAGAGATCCCGTATAAGAATCTCAATTACAAAACATGCATAATCGCTTGTTTCAAATTCACTAAGCAAATAACATCTATGAGGTCCTTTACATTAGACGTGTATTTCAGATATTTGGAAAAGGAGATGAAATAAATTATAGAATAGAAGATTTAGAGTTTAAGACTGAAAAGAAACAATTTAGACAAATCAAAAAAAATAGGGAGTCTGTAAAAACAACTAAACATACATGCTAACCATACCTATTAACTGAGATAGAGTTAATGTTGAAATCATGAGCATGTGCATACACCCTTCGACATCTTGC